AATTGCAATCTCTGCAATTAAACAGCATTCAGGTGGACAACTTCAAGTATGACTAAAGAGTGGGATAAATTTCATTTGGTGTTCTAATCATCTTTGATTTAATCCTGTTAGCAGAGGCTCTTGCATGCTAACATCATGTGAAAATTTTGATTACCATTGTTTCAACTCATTCCTCGCTTTCTTAAAAAAAATAAAGACAACACAAGAATCAAGAGTAGAAGAGAACGTAGCCAATTTTTAGGGGATTTAAAAGCAGAAATGTGAAGTTTATACTTTTATAAAAAACATTTACAACACTTGTGTAAAAACTTGTGTGTTACTTGTGCTGTAAAGCCGTTTAAATAATCGCATAAGTCATTTTAAGGTTTATGGCGATTTGTTTGTCATGACCACAAAGCTGTAAAATGGAAAACTTTACAAGAAAAACGTGAGTTAGTGATTTTTTATTCTAAAATCATCATCATGTGGCTGTACAGTTTACAGATTGGCCCCATTTTTATAAAGAAAATGAGGGTCAAGAGGAAATCAAATTTTGTGGTAATCAGCATTATGACACAATTGCTGTCAATTGAGCTTAACTTGTACCAAGCACAGAATATTTCTTAAAGTGATCCCTGCTGGAAGATTGTCTGTACAAACACTGGCTGTGAGATAAGTAAATATGTGTGAAACATCTGCTCTCTCTCCGTTTGCTCTCATTCCCCTCGATCAGCTGATTATTCCTCCCAACTCATCTTCATCAACTGTAGTTGCCATAGAGCCAATGACAAAGACACGTAATGCGATTTCCCCTCTCTCAGCACAAAGAGCAATAGCAGATGTTGTGCACACAGTCCCACACAAAGCTTAAACTGCTATTCAAAGCCGTGAGACGGTGAAAAACATAACAGGACCGATCTAATCCTATAAAAATGACAGAAACGAGAAAAGGGGACAGATTCAGCAAGAATAAGAATTTTATTCATGAAACTGCTCTTATGTGATTCCTGTTGCAGGCTGTTTAACTATCAGTCATCAGCGTTTCGAGTCGTCTAGTCCCACTCAGAGGTGCATATCTGCAGCCAACCCCCTCATTTCCATCTCAGTCTGACAGTAAGAGATCTGTGCGAGGTGTACAGGACAAACAGCGCAGAGGCATCCTGCCGAGAATCCCTTCACGAGACTGCCCTGTGACTCATTACCAACATAAAGGAAGAAAATCATGGGGCACATTTACAATCTGTCTCCCATAGAGGGAAGACCGGGGTTAGTTGTCACATGGAGATGCTGTATCTTAGTAACTATAAAGTTTTGAATAAAGAGTCCAAATTATTTTTCTAATAGTTGTCTTGTCATGGTTCTAATAGTTTTTCTAATAGTTATCTTGTCTTTGTTTTAAACACTTAAACAATTCCAATGTCATCATATTTTAGCCAAATAAAAAAACAGAGTTTAGCTGAATAAAAAAAGAAGTGAACACAAAACAACAACTCAGAAGTCAATCATACAATGAGATTTTAACCAAAAGGTTGAACAGTGTTCTCAGAATAAGGATATTTTTCATAAATGTCAAGTTGAACAGCTTACATTTTTATTGGGTCGTAGTATAAGTAGTCACATGTGATTTATATGTTGCAATTTTATTCAAAATCAATAAAAAAAAAAAAAAATTTTACTAACACATTTTTCAGAATTGTTTAAATTTTTTTTACAATTAACATAAATATAACACTAAAGGCTATTAAATAGTCTGTGACAACTTGCCCCATCTAGTGTGACAACATGCCTTGCTTGTGATAAATGAACCTTAAATAAATAACGGTGGAAATGTTCAATATATTTTGGCAGCTAACATTTTAATGGATGTACCTACACCAAAACTACCTTTCAAATATATAAGAAATATTTATTCAGTGTGACAACCAGCCCCTGTATCTGCTATTACAGATTCTATAATGGCACTATTTTTATTTAACATCAAAATTTCTATCATGGTCTTAAAATCATTGTGCTGTTTTAGGAGTTTTGACAGATTTATTTATTTTTTGGCCAGACTGATGGAACAAAACAATATTATGAGCCGTAAAGAAAGGCATTAAAAACAAAACGTATTTTAGCCAAAACAATACTTTGAAGCTGAATTACAACTACAAAACTCCAGCTGTTAGCAACTTAGATTGGGTCAATTGTTTCAATACAAACAAATTTTGTTAAACACAACATTGACATAGATATGGTGGCCCTGGTGGCTGGTATGTCTGGGAGGGACTCCATCACTCTGCAGGCATATGGGGGCCATGGAGTCTGCAGGGCTGGATTTAAACCCTAGAAGGCTCTTCTCGTGTCAATGACAACACTTCTGGTTTCCCCTGTTGGCTGCATGTTTACTTAACTCAGGGTGCTCCACAGCAAGAGCCCCAACGCTCCATGTGGGGGGCGACTAGGACGGGGCAAGATCTGAGGATGACCTGACACCTCTTGTAAATGGAACTTCCCTCATTACAGTCAGATGATAATCAAACGGGTTAGTGAGCTTTAATCCAAAATTACTTAATGAATATTCCTATTCCATGGCTTTGAAATGCTCTATTGTGAGTAATGAGGTTCTAATAGTTTAAGATGATTTTTTAAATTTTTTATTTAACAAATGAAATCTTGAAGATACAATGCTTGTTAATAGCACATTCAGAAAAAGAAGAGATCATTCTGGTGACCCACTTCAGTTACAATCACTTCATTCCTCACAAGCTCTGCACCGTAAAAAAGTTATATTGTTTCTATGCAAACTAAACCAGAATATTACCATCGCAAAGCAAATCCATCTGCTATTATTCAAAAACACACGGTTGGTCTATAAACCATAGAACTAAACACACCAATGCTTTAAACAATTCTGATGGCTTTCTTAAAACATGTATAAACTTATAAATATGTTTAGATATGTAGAAAATTTATTATTTATGAGTGGACTACACTGTAAAAAAATTTTTTTGACTTTAGATTACTGGAGTACATTTTACAAGAAAAATACAAAACATTTTATTTAGTGTACTTGCAATTAATTTGTAATTTACAAAAAATTTACTTGTATTTTCTGAGTTAGAATTACACTATATACATCCTTATCAAACTGATTATAACCATAAAAATTGTATACTGGATGTTATGGTCCAAATGGTTTACAAAACAATTTGGATTGATTTACATGCGCTAAAAGCATGCAAATAACCTACAGGTGGGCAAAAAGTGGAATATGTTGTTAAAACAAGAGACTAGGAAAACAAAGCAGGCTATATCAGATGCTGCCTGAGCATTTAGAAAGTGATATAAATATAGGGCTCCTGTTCTGATGAGGCTTTAGAATTAAAGTGAAAACTATAGAACTTTCTGCTTCCATCTCTCGTTATCCGTTGGCCAACTGGGAATGTGCCTGCAGAATCTCAGTGTAGGTAACTCTCCCACCAGTGGCACCTTGTAAAATGACATCTGCATTCACCTCCAGGCTTTTGAAGAGAGGAAAGCTGAGCACTCAAAGACTTTAAAGGCATTAAAAAGTTCGTTTAAACACACAGTAACTAAAACTTAGAATGACAACAAGAAAATAGAGACAAACATTTAAAAGCTTCAAATTAACATCTAACATTGTTTATTCCGCATTTTAAAAAATGAGATATACAAGCTAAAAGGTCTTAAGTTTGAACCAAAAAGGCCAAAACATAAGTCAGTCTGACATAAAATCTGGATTGCCCCATCATTTACTAATGTGTCAGTGTAATTGAGTGTGAGCGTGATTAAATGCGTGCCAACACTTGTACCCCTCACTGCACTGGCACACATGGGCCACTGAGCAGCAGGTTTGACCCGGTGAGCTGGGTCTGTTTAGAGTCCTGTTACACAAGAACTCACCCCTCTCCTCTGGAGCTTCGTTACAGGACAAAAGTCTAGCGCAGCATAGCTATATCCTTGGAAACTGAGAACACATCTGTGTCCTGTTATACAAACTAATACACCCCCCTCCCCTTCAACATCACCCCACTCTGATTTAACTGGAAGGCTTGGTGGAAAGTTCTGGCCCAATATAAAACTAATTGTTCGCTCTCCCTTTTTCACTTTCTCTCCGTTTCCTTTTAGGAGCAAGATGAAACAATAACACAGATTTATTGATTTGTTTATTTAAATTACGTTTTGCATGACTATTTGTTTATTTTGCTAATTCAAGGGATGCAATTTATTCATTTCCAAATCATTATGAACATAAACTGTGAATCAGAACTCACGTAAACTGGACTATTTTGGTCTATAGAACTTGGAGAAGCAGAGGTCTACACCTGTTTGCCTTTAGTCATGGTAAACTCTGTGAATAAGTTGGTGGGTTCTGTGGCTGAATTTGAGAAAATAAAGAAATACACAATAATGAAACTGAAAACACCATGCAAAATAGATAAAGACTTGAGAATGTAAAGGTCAATGACGTGACCAATCTAGCAAGTAAAACGCATTAAGAAATGCAATGCATATGAATGACTCCTTTTATGATGAATATGTTTTCAGTTTCTGAATAATTTTTTGTGGGGTTAACAAAAATGTCTAGACAGTGTAACTAAGCAGAGGTTGTAAAAAAAGTCTATTAAAAGACTGAAATTCTTTAAAAAATGAGAACACCAACACGGAAAGCATTTTGATGTTAAATCAACATTTTCTTGAAATGTTATAAATGTTACACTTCTAAAAAACATGACATGTTTTGAACTATATTTATAAAATGTTTTATAAATGCAAGCTCATGTCTTGGGTCACAATATTCATATTCACAATATTCACCACCAAACTCTAAATATGACATAAATCATGAATAAAAAAAATAACAGTTCCATTGAAAAAGTGAGTACTCTAATTTGGTGCCAGAAATGGAATAGAGGCTATCTGTAGTGCCAATAGCTGACAAATCATCGTGGGAACACCCACTTTCTCCTTTTGAAGGTGGAGGATCGGTGGGGGTGTCTGGAGTAGAGCCTGTGCGCGGATTTAACTCAGAGACGCAGTTGCTGCTGTCACAGTTGCTCCTGGATTCTACATTGTGCGGATCTCTTCTTCACACTGCAAATATGGATCTGAAAGTGATCGTAATATTCGCTCTGATGGCGGTCGTCATTCATGCACCGGTTTCAAATGGTGAGTTACTGTTTAACAGATCATTTGCAAATGTGTACATTACTTTTGCACTGTGCATAAAGCTTTCATTAAAGACATTCGATGCAAATATTGCAAACTTCAAAAATGTTGCTTTTACGGTAACGTGCACCTGTGTAAGAAACGACGCGTATTTCATTGCATTTACGCATTTGCTTTTAAAGTGTTTATTAAACTCAAAACGGTTTTATTTATTAGTAGTGTAATACCCTACGGATTTTTGTTTCTAAAACTCACGTGGGCCATTCACACCAGTTGGTTTTATATTTTAATTTCATGAAACGTACGTGATTTTCCACATATTCCGAGAAAAACTGACACGCATGCGGTCAGGAGAGCAGAAAAGCCACCGGCACGGCGTTGATTAGTGTGTGTGTTTGTCGCCCTCTTTGTTTTCTCTTAATTACCCACAAATTAGAGGATAAAACAGAACCGCAGAGATAGCGCCAGTCTTTACTTCAATCCAGCCAGTGCGCGCGGCTCTAACGATAGCTCGCGCGTTTACATGACAATAAGAATAGATTACTAGAGATGTCATTAGCATTTAACAAGTGGACTAACGTGGATAGAGCTCCGTTAAATCGCAGGTACTTAACACCTTTGGCCTCTTGTGAGTGGGCAATGTCCGTTAAAGTATTTGCGTACGTGCGCTGTGCAGTCTTCACATACAATGTAAAGCTGCTCGAGCTGTGAAGTCTCTGCTTCCTTGAGCGTGAAACATGTCTGAGCCAAATGGAACAATAATCCCCGCGCTGCCATACAACTCACTCGCTTTAATGTGCAAAAATGTGAAGACTGTTGAAATAAAGTATTTACGTGCGCGCACGCTCCAATTCATACAGCCAGTTTAATCTGCATTTAGTTCATTTGAAAAAGTATCAGCATTTCTCATCAAATATACTGGCTTGAATTGCTTTATAAACGCACGCTGAAATGTTTAAGCATATAGCCTACAATCACCCAAGTTTATACCTTATAACATTATAAACTGAATTTAGTAAGCATTTTTATTTACAGTTAAAATTTATAGAGCACATAATATAATCGCATCTCTATTATATAATATACACTGCTCAACAATCTCGCCGTTAGAGGAAAATGCACCCTCAGTGTGTCTGATAATTGTACTGGTTGTTATTAGAGAGTGTTGCAATAGTAAGTTTGGCACACTAGAATGATTACATAATGGATTTTGAAAATTAACCAAATCTTTTAAGTTTCAGTTTTAGTCAAGGATGCTGTTTTCGTTTATAAAGCATCTGTGGTGTGAGCTCAATTAAAATACCAGGCAAAAGTGATTTGCATTTGTGTACTTTCTCATCAAACTTCATTATTCATCATGATTTCATCCAACGCTCACATGCACTGAATTAAAAGCATCACGGCAACAGCTGAATTGAGTTTTTCTTCCTTTTTTCTCTTAATCCTTCTCCAGCCAAGCCCATCAGCCTGGTAGAGAGATGCTGGTGCCGTTCCACAGTCAACACAGTCCCACAGAGAAGCATTCGCGAACTCAAGTTCCTCCACACACCCAACTGCCCCTTCCAAGTCATGTGAGTATCTGCACTAAACTGTCTCTTTCCGACTTCTGATGAGGTGTCTGCCTGACCCAGAAATACATCACTTCACCCCATCAATCTCCAAATACTGAAGGGACACTGAATGGGGCAGGAATTGGCCTCCCCTGACTCGCATTATACTGTTGGTCAGGCTCTCACAGTTGCACACATCCAGGGGGAAATGCTATAGGAGGGGGTAGGACCTTTAAGCATGGATGCATTTGTATTTTGTACAGGAAAGCAGCATCATAGGGGTCCGAAAGAGTTCCTCTTCAAGCTCTTTCTCACACATGTAAAGGGCTTGAATGATGTGCTTAGTCACACACCATAGCCTTGCATGCTGATGAGAACTATCCTGCCTGTATGTTTTCACTTCTATTGAGTGAAGTGTTCAAAACAGCTGCTTTATTTGGATTTTTAACAAAGATTAATGGCAGTGCCGTGTCAAACTCCATTACAAACCTCACTTATTTTCCATACCATAAATGCTCACCAAGGTGTAAACAAAGACTTAAACTGT